CAGACTTGCGGTCAGGGGCGCCTCAACTGACAGCTTTATTTTTAGTTTCTACCTCGCAAGGAAACAGGGGTATTCAGAGCGGGCAAAGGCTACTATGTTCAGCTTCGGCACGTGGGAAGGTCGCTTGAAGGGTAATGGCTGCCTGCCTGTAGCCCTCAAAGTCACGAGCCTTCTTGAAGCTATCGTCGGATTGGCAATGGTCCCAGAAAAGAACCTGAAAGGGGGCCGGATCCACAGTGCATGCAGGTCCGTGGAACAACAAAAACAAATCAAAACAAGAAGTTGCTTGAATTTTGGACTGATGTGAAGCCTCCTTCAACGATGGCGATGTCACTCGGCCCTTCACATGGGTGCTGAACACCTCACGGATCGCGCGCCACTTGGCCTGGGCATCTTCGCCTTTGGGAAGGTAGCGCCTGGCAAAAGTTGAGGTAGCTTCACCTTTCTTGGGCCTCTTGCGCTTTCGCTCCTCAGCTTGCGGCTCCTCAGCCCTCTCCCTCTTCACCGTGGACGTCTCTCGCACAGCCATGCCACTCTCAGCAGCGCCCTCCGCACCACCATCCGCCTGCTTCTCCACATTGACAACCTTGGCACTAGAGCTCCCAGGTTTGGACTTCGCCTTGGCAGTGGCTTTGGATTTGGCCCTTGCTGCAGCCTTTGTCTTCTTGACGGTTGGGGCATCCTCCTCCTTCTCCTCCTCCAGGTCCGTAGCTTTGGCTTTGGCCTTCGCCGCAGCCTTCGTCTTCTTAGCGGCTGGGGCATCCTCCTCCTCCTCCTTCACCAGGTCCGTAGCTTTGGCTTTAGCCTTTGCCGCAGCCTTCGTCTTCTTGCTGGTTGGGGCATCCTCCTCTTCCTCCTCCTGGTCCGTAGCTTTTGCTTTAGCCTTCGCCGCAGCCTTCGTGTTCTTCACGGTTGGGGCATTCTGCTGGTCCGTAGCTTTGGTTTCAGCCTTTGCTGCAACCCTCGTCTTCTTGGCGGTTGGGGCGCCCTTGTTCTGCCGCGTAGCCTTGGCTTTGCCCTTGGCTGCAGCCTTTCTGATGGCTGGAGGATCCTCGTCATCTTCACTGATCTCCAGGACAGGAGGAGCCGATTTCTTCCCGCGGCCACGGCCGCGGCCACGACCGCGCCCTGTCTCTTGCCCCAGCTGGTCACGACGGAGAAGCAGTGGGGCTTCATCAGGAAGATCCTCAGGGACATGAGTGTGAGCAATTGCATTGGGGCGTCTTAGTTGTTGCGGGGCTGGGGGAGTATGCTGTGGCAACTCCTGGTCCTCTGGAGAAGCGTTGTTGCTCTCCTTTGGCTCCTTGTGATCAGCGGCAACCTTCTTCTTGCCAGCACGCTTGCCTTTCAAGGCTTGGCTCGCGTCCTCGCCCTTGCCCTTGGCAGCTGTGATGCTGGTGTCCGCGGGCTGCTCCTGGAAGACCTGCTCGGTCACATTCTTGGTCATGTTGCTGCCCACGTCCTTGTTGCAGCTGAGGTCCTTGTTCGCACCTTCCAAGCGCTTCGCATCGCTCAAGTCCTTGTTGGAGCTGTCCGCTGCGTTAGCCTTGGTCTCGCTGCGGCCCACGTCTTGGTTGCTGCCAGCGCCCATGTTCGCGCCTGTGTCGTCCGAGCCCTTGGTCTCGCAAATCATGTCAACATCGTTGCTGCCAGCGCCCACGTTCGCGCCAGTGTCTGTCAAGCCCTGGGTCTTGCCAATCATCATGCTGTTCACATTGCTGCTGTCACCTGCAGGGTCAGCCAAGTCCTTTGTCGCATCCTTGGTCTCCACAATCATGGTGTTTTCTGCGTTGGCCGAGTCCTTCGCCTGGTAGATCGTCATGCCCGCGTCCTTGATAGCGTCAGCCAAGCCCTTGGTCGCGCTACTCGCGTCCTTGCTGTCCATCTCCCTTTTGCCGCCGTAGTTGTCCATGTTCGCACCGTTGTCGGTCTCGCTGCCCGCGTCCCCGTTGAAGACAGCGCCCATGTTCGCGTCTGAGTCCTTGGTTTCATTGGCCAAGTGCTTGGTCTCGCTGAGGCCGCCCATGTCCACGTCCTTGTTGCGGCCGGCGTTCATGTTTCCTACGTCGGCCAAGTCCTTGGTCTCGCTGAGGCCCACCATGTCCAAGTCCTTGTCGCTGCCAATGATGATTCCTGCGTCGGCCAACTCCTTAGTCTCGCCGATCATCGCGCTGCCAACATCGCCGTGGAAGACGTCGTTGTCCAAGTCCTTGGGTTCGCTCATCATGATGTCCTTATTGGTGCCAGCGTCCATGTCTGCGCCTGTTTCGTGCGTGGCCTTGCCGATCTCGCTGTCCATGTCTGTGTTGTTGCCAGCACCCATGTTTGCGCCTGGCTCGGCCAACTCCATGGTCTTGCCAATCACCACGCTGTCCGTGTCCTTGCCAGTGCCCATGTTCGTGCCTAGGTTGGCCAAGTCCTTGGTGTCCTTCTCGCCCTTCATGCCCGCCAGCGCAAACTGCAGCGCCTCGTCGTCCGCGTTGCTGATCTCACCCTGGGACGTGCGCACGTCCTCGCTGCCGCCCATGTCGTCTGCAGGAACGTCTGCGTTGTGGCTTTCGCTCACGCTTCTTGTGCCGTTTGGGGCGCCCAGGCGCCGATCCACCAGGTCTGTGGGTGTGGGTGACAGTGCTGGCTCAATTGGCAGCGTGTCTGCGGCATCCATGCCTGCTAGGGTCCAATCTTAGAAACCGATCAAGAGACTAGATCATGGATCGATAAAAGCTTTGTTGACCAAGTCAGGGCCTGGGAAACTGGCGCGGGCTTGGCTGCCGCTTGAAGAAGCGAGCTGCGTCCTGCAAGGGCACATTCTGGAGGTGTGTGAGTGTCTGTGCGTGGGTGTGTGGGGTTGGTGTGTGTCAGGAAGCTTTGAAGGATCACACAAGAAACCAAAAACAAAACGTCAACCCTGCCCAAGCCTCAGCAAAGATATGCGCTCCAGGATCTGGTGACGCTCAGCTTCACTGAGATGTCTGGAGCTCGACATTGGCTCGGCTGGCTGGGGGTCTGAGGCTTCAGGAGTTTCGGGGCTATCCAGCTGGCAAGCCTGAACAGGACACTCGTACCCATCTTGACGGGCAATTTCGGGTTCATCATCAGACTCCGAGACCTCAAGGGCTGTACTTTTATCATTCACCAGCAGGGGCTGCGTGTCTTCGATGGCCAGTAGCGCTTGTGGTTCTTGGGGGGTTGGCTGCCCGCCATCCTCTTCACCTGACCCTCCCATACTTGTCGAGGGTGGCCCAAAAAGAGCGCAACTTTGGGTCCTGGCTGGGGTTCACGGAAAGCACAAAAGGAATCCCACTGTTTTTGCAGCGTGTTCAAAAAGCACTGGAAAAACGTCAGCTTGCTAGTCAAAACCAGGGAACTCGAGGCTTTGAAGCACCAGCCAACCAGCGCCGGAGCCCGCAAGAAAACATTTTGCGCAATCCCCACGAGTCTAACGCGACTGTGGCCATGTCTTCCTCCAACCCCATGATCTCTCGGAACCTCGTCACCTAAGGAGGGACCAACGGACCAAACAAATCAGCAACGTGTAGTGGAAGCAACGCAAACACGATAATAGGTTGACACCCGCCCACCTCCTTCTTTATTGGGTCAATGTGGATTGCGGTCGGCAAAGGCCGCTGACTACACCACCATTCAGCTACTAGCTCCAATGCATCGATGTTGAGAGCACAGGACTTGGTTGTGCCCTTCCCCGTGGCACCAAGGTTGGGCCACACTGTTATCTGGGAGTTGTTCCGCATCCTCCTTCTAAGAACCGTTGATTCCTCGAAGCGCTTCCACAACGGTTCCATGGCCGGCCAAGGTGTGATGGAAACTGGGATCGAGCTTCAAAAGCAGCGAGCCCTGTGCCTGGTGTCACCCCTAGCTGAAACCAGCTCCCTCCCACGGATTGAGCGGCCTGGATGGTCTTCATGAAAAAGATGGCCGCTGCAGAGCCATCCCAAGATCAAGTACCTGATTTGTGCTATGAAATCCCAAAGGGAAGAGATAAGTTGGAGGAAGGGCGCACTTGGTCGGGTCAAAGTTCGTTATCAGGTCAAAGTTCATGAGTCACCAAGCCGAAATGCTACGGCCCGTCTTGCGAATTGCAAACAATGAATCGCTCGAAATCTCAAAATTAGCCTTTTCAGTTGACAACCTGGTTTTCAGTGAAAGAGCAGAATTAATGCACCTTTTGGAAGATCGAGGTATATACAACAACATCGCAAGAGTGTCAGCGAGCGGAAAACCCTGAAAAAAAAATAAAAAATAAAAAGCATCGCAAGATTGTCAGCGGAAAACCCCCCCCCAAAAAAAGATTTTAAAAAAAAAGCAAATCAAAAACATCGCAAGAGTGTCAGCGGAAAACCCTGCAAAAAAAAAGATAAACAATAAAAACATCGCAAGAGTGTCAGCGGAAAACCCTGCAAAAAAAGATTAACAAAAACAAAGCACAACATCGCAAGAGTGTCAGCGGAACCCCCCCGAAAACAAAAATAACAAATCAAACACATCGCAAGAGTGTCGGCGGAAAACCCTCCCAAAAAAGATTAAACAAACAAAAAAAAACATCGCAAGAGTGTCAGCGGAAAACCCTGCACAAAACAGATAAAAAAATAAAAAATAAAAATAAACAACATCGCAAGAGTGTCAGCGGAAAACCCCCCCCAAAAATTTTTTTAAAAAAAAAAAAAAAAAAAAAAAAAAAAAAATCGCACGAGTGTCAGCGGAAAACCCTGCACAAAACAGATAAAACAAAATCAATAACAACATCGCAAGAGTGTCAGCGGAAACCCCCCCCCCCCCCGAAAATAAAAATAACAAATCAAAAACATCGCAAGAGTGTCAGCGGAAAACCCTGCAAAAAAAAGAAGAAACAAAGATGATAACAAACATCGCACGAGTGTCAGCGGAAAACCCTCCCAAAATCAAGCACATCGCGGGGAGCACCTTCTACACGAAGATGGGGCAGATGTCCCCCGCAGCACCCGGTTCGAGCCGCAGCTCTCCAGGAGCAGCTCCGCAGGGTTCAGAGCAGCCTCGGCCGTGAAGGGGGTCAGGACCCGGTTCACCAACCCGCAAAGAAACACACGAACACCTTTCTCCCCGAGTTTCTGGACTTCATCATTTTGGGGGAAGACCATTTTGGCGGTAGATGGACTGTTTGGACTCTGTTTTGGCCAATCTACTTAGGACGTGACAGTGAGACACAGACCAAATAGAACCCCAGAAGTTCCACCGTATCGCCACAAGGGCAAACAGGGTTCCTTGGAGGATACGTTTGGACAAGTTTCGCAGCTCGTTTCGAGGATCCACTTGTGAGGCAGGTCGTGTTTGGCTGCATCCTTCAGGAACTGTACTTAGACCCCCCCGGCAAAAAAAGAAGGAATGAACGGGCGGGTATGCGCTGAGAGGCATGCCCAGGGTTGGTTGCAAACATGTTCAAAGGACCAGATCCGATTCCGTCCCTTTGAAAAGGGCTTCAACTTGAATCAGGGGTTGGTTTGAGTGTTCTGGGTGCTGATCAGGTTGCTTTTTGGTCTGCTCAAGGTGCTTTCTGGCGGAGATGCCAGTTGTGCCGTTTTAAGCTTTTGGTGGTCAGGGTGCTTCTTGACAATTTGAAGACCCCTTAAAAAGGAGACTGATGTGGCCAATCCATCCCAAGAAGCCCGGAGACCAAAAGCACACAGCCCCTTGAGTCGCCTGGGTCACCTAGGTCTCTCTATTCGGAGGCCCAGGTCGGAGTTGTGGCTTCACTAGAGGTAATCAAGGGGTTTCAGGGTGCCAAAGAAAAGGACCAGGGCTGGTTCCCTAAGTGAGATCAACTGGGTATGGTCAATTTGGAGTTTGGGATGTGGGTCGACCAAGCTCTTTTTGGGCACTCGTTTAGCCGATAAATCGATGGTGGAACGCAAGCGCTGGCCCAGCCAGCAAACTCAGGTCTAGTGCTCAGACAGGCACAGACACCAGTGTTGTTAGCTGTGGTGCACTACTCAAAGGCTTTAAGGGCAGAAGCTTCAACGTTGTGCAGCTTTGCTTATTAAGTTGCACCAATCATTTCAATTCACTTCCATCTCGACCAACTTGGCGCACTTTGATTCGAATAGACTACGCACAAATGGTCAACCCGCCACTTTATTAGGGAACCGTGTCCATAGCCAGCGTTTTGGGAAGAGAGTTGACCACACACGTGGCCAAGCCCAAAGACGCACAGGCGAACCTTGCCCCAGAATCAACCCGTGATGGTTCCAATTTGTCTTGCGCCAGGACTCGACGATGGCTGCTGGCCTGCTTGTGCATGACAGTGGCTTGGCGCTACAGTCGCAGCTGATGGAGTCTTCAGATTTGAGTCTCACAAGCAATTTACTTAGACCATTGCACAAGGCGAGCTTTGGGCATTGCAGGTGTCCTCCGTTTGAAGCATTGTCCACGTTTTGCGGGAGCAAGCTACAAGATGGAACCAAACATTGTTTTAGTTTCACAATTCAATATGTTATTAAATATGATTCTTTGCTGAAGTTTTAATAACGTATTCAAAAAAACACTTGATTGGCATATATTATATAGAAACACCATGCATATATATATATATATATCAAGCTTCAGCAAACAACTATTTAATAAATTATTGAATTATCGAGTAACAAATGTTTGGTTTGTATTATATATATATACAAAAATTGAAGCTCCACGCAATCTGGTCAATTGGAATTGCAGCTATGGAGTTCTATTTATAGCCACTGTCCGCTTTGCGGGCGGAAACTAGATATCGGGAACGGCGGACCTTAACCCACTGGCGGGGCAATTATCTTCAGGCCGTGACTTGGTGTGGATCTTCTCACATTTTGCACCATTGGGCCAGGGCCCAATTTGATGATCCGGTGAAAGAATGGCGCGTAACTTTTCCTCAAAGCATATTATATATATATATGTATATTAGTTGTATCATTATTATTATCATTATGATTATGAGTATTATTATTATCATTATTATTATTATTAATAATATTATTCTTATTATTATTATCATTATTATTATTACTATTATTTAGTACTATTATGATTGTTATTATTATTATTGTTATTATTATTATCATTATTATTATTATTAATACACATGCCTATTGCATGATACATGCATGGTGTTCTTTCTCAATGACACCTACTCTTGTTGACGCCCGACGTCGTCGAAGACGCGACTTCAAGTTTGGGCCCCAGGCGCGTTGGACAGCATTGCCCAACAGCTGGATAAGTACCGCCGCCGCCTCGCGCAGGTTGGACTCCGTTCCATGAACTTGTGTTGGACTGCGTTGACCTGGGTGTGGGTCAAAATTAAACCACCAGGCAATCCCAGGTTGCAGTCCATGTTTTGCATGTACCAGGGTTCCATTTTAGATCACATTTTTGACCCCCACCTGGATTCTGGACAATTAACATCGTGACCTCAAGACCCAGCAATATAAAGCATGTACTCAGTTGCCGAATTGCCGCCCGAAACGTTTAAGCTGATTTGCCACAGCCTGTCGCGCACGCATGCAGAGTTACTTCTCATTTCAGAGGTCGAAAATGATCATAGCCCATTTCATCAGTGATCAACAATTGAGTTTCGGAACTTCCGCCTGTGTGGTTGAACCCCTTGCCTTGCCCCCAAGTCGACTCGACAATGTTGATGACACTATTTGCGTTCGAATTCAGAGAAAGAACGACGCAGGGACTGGGAGATGCTTTGGCGGCAGATTTGGATGACTTTGGTTTTTCAGCGACATGAAACAACCTTTCCCTTTTTCTCCTTGAAACATCAACGGAAGATATTTCCCCTCGAAAGGAAACAGTGTGGACGCCATATGAATCAACCCCAGTTTATCAACAGGGGTGTGTTCCCCTCCAAAAGTGATAAATCCCCACAAAAACCAGGGATATTCCCATGTTAGTAAGCAGGGGTTTATTAATCCGGGGTTAACATTGTTAACGTGCTGTGCATCAGGGAATTGATTGCCAGAGTTTGTGCCCGGGGTGGCAGACACACGCATGTGTTTGAATGACAGGCCTTTGTCCATGGGCAAGAATTCCTGTCAGTAGGAACAGAGATTATTCGAACACTGAACTGAAGTCGTTGTCACTACATGGTTGCCTTTCGCGTATAAGTAACCAACACAACCTATCAGTGAAACACTTTGTACTCTTGTTTCCCGAAATTGCCAATATCCGCAATCCGCAATTTGCCCATCGTCTTCCGCAGCATTCACCCCGGGCCCCGTCCTGTATCTCACGTCGGCCAGGATCCAGGCAACAAAGAGCTGGAGGCGCGGAAAAGGCAACCAGTTGGGTGTAAGTAGATTCAGACAGCACAATTCCCCCAGCTCTGTGTAGTCATATCCTTTACTCACCGAGATCGTGGAATGCCATCTACTTTGTAGACTTCCCCCTCGTCGGGGGTGTTCCGAACAAAGGCCCGATATGCTCGGAGTTTCTTCGCAACACCTCCGATTTGCAGATGTGCGTGACTCCCTCCAAGCTTTTGCTGGGTTTTTGGAGGCAAACCAAAAGCCTCAGAGGGGTCCCTCCATTAATTTTCCTTTGTTGAAGCTCTAGGAGGTTTCGTTTTGCTGAAACGAGCCAACTTGATAAACCCAGTTGCCTAGTGGCGCCCTTTTTTCCTTTTTTTGGGGAGGGGTTCCTCTTTGAACTCAACCAACATCAACCAACCAAACAAACGGATGCCAATTCTTTTTTCCCCATGGAAATCCACTGGGCATCTGAGCAGACCGAGTGCATGATGCAGAGTGCATGTCCTCGAGCGGCTCCAGGCTCAGTGCGATGCGCTGAGTGAACTTCTGCAAGGCTGCAGGGGGTTGGCAGATGCCAAGATGCGGGAGATTCTGGAGGCTGGGGGGTGGGGGGTTGGGGGGGGGGGGGTTGGGGGGGGTTGGGGGGGGGGGTTGGGGGCGGGGTTGGGGGGGGGTTGGTGGGGGGGGAGGCAAGTTCCTCGGATGCTAAACTACATCAGGTGAGTTCCCTCTTTCCTTTTTTCAAAGACTACTGTCCTCTTTGTCCTATTGAAAAGGCCCCTTGTCACTTCCATGATTGTTGGAGAAAGCGTGAGGTGATTGCGCTATGGCTATAAGGGAGAACGGCGTTGGTTCCCTTATTAGCAAGGTCAGTTGCAACAGGTCAGCATCAAGCATGGCTCAGAACAACCAACGGGGAGTCGCTAACCGAGAGGTGCAGCTGCAAGCCGCGCGCAGAGAGCATTGGGCACTCACAAAATGAGGGTCAGTGAGTCAGAAAGTCGAACTGGAGCTTCGAGCTTCAGGACTGCCACTTCCCAGCGCGAGGGTGGATTGTCAACCTATGTAGACTTTAAACATCGAACCATGGTGTACCGTTCCACCCACTATGGAACCGACCAGAAGGCCCCCGCCTGGTTTCCTATATGGGATTCGCTGCACTGAAGAACTTGGCTGGGGAAAGCCTGGCCCTTCAAACCACCAATTCATCAGGAGCGAAGCTGGTTCACGGGCCTGAACGAATCTGCACCGACCTGCACCAACTTGCAGTGACGTAAACTGACCTGCACTCGCTGGTGGGATCTTCCGAAAACGGAGCGCATTGCAGGGAGGAGATCCGGCTGCAGCGGCGGTGCTGGCGCTTAGACGCACTGGCAAGATGGCATTCACAGATGACGACCGGCCCCTTGACAATTCAGGTCGGGCTTCGCCTCGGTCCTGCAGAGTCAAAATTCCCCCCCCTTGTGCCCCCAAAATTGAACCCAACAAATGGCTTCTCAAGGCCTAGGAGGAAACCAGGACAAGAGGAGGGGGGGTGGAGGTCGAACGGTCAAATTATGAGAGGGTTGTCCATGACCTGAATAGCCCTGCCAGACGTGGCTGGTCTTTTTGATTGCAACCTTTTTGGTTGCCTTCATTTCCCTTTGAAGCAGCAAGCAGCTAACTTTTTGTCGGGGGTCTCAGTCTGCCCAGAAAAGGCTTAACCTGAGCTCATCCTGGAATCAGCTAGGCATGGACCACTTCCACAAAAAGCCCGCAAGGTCCATGACGGATTGCTGCACGTCGGCTTTGCACGTTTTCAGGACACACCTGCAGATGCAAAGTCGTTCATCCCCAAAACTATCATGCAAACACGAACCTTGTTAGGGGGGCTCGCCCGTTTTGGCTTGAATGTTGATTTGCAACAAAGGCCAACTTGTGGAGAACCGGGTTTCCGGACACGTTCTGTAATACTCTTGGTGAATGCTCTATAGAGTGACAAGCAATCATGATGTCATGGGGGAGGGACTCGAATTGTAGCATCAAAGCCCGCAAATAAGCCCGGAACGCCGTTTCGGGGGGTCCCCTGAAGTTTCCTCAAGGAGTTTTGGGGAGCCCATGTTGACCAGCCACAAGCCTAAGGCAAGCGCTGCTGGAAGAGGCGCTTCGGCGCTTGGCGCGCTTCGACGACCAGCTGGAGAGGCGGAAGGCCACCTTGGCCAGGCGCGGAACGCTTTTCCGAGAGACGGGGGAGACAGGGGAGAAGCGCTGAAGATCGGGAGGGTCTGATCCAGCTTGCAATTGAGAGTCCCACCCGCAAGGTTCCCCAAAAAGTGACGCACCCGTTTGAGTGAAGTTTGAAAGCCAGAGAGAGGTGGATTGTACCTCCAAGGAAAACCACGCCTATGCCTCCATCACTGTTGAGTTTTGAGCTGAGTGCATGTCGACATGCTTCGGTGACCCGAGGCGGAGGAAAAGGGGGCAGTCCGCAGATTTGGATGATGACGATCTCAGACAGCTGCTCGCGGACAAGGCAAATGCCTTACAGCAACTGGAGGTTGCTTGGCTGCAGTGCAGCATGTTGCTCGATGTGTGCCATGGAAGAAGTCGTTGCGACTCTTGACGAGCTTCGCGCATGCGCAAGCTTTTACAGGGCTCCTTGTGGTGCTGTGACGTTTAATGTCGTGCCATCTGCAGTCTTCCTATAGGGGACAATGCATCCAAAGGTACAGGGACAGATTTAAACATCCTTCATCATCACAACTTATCAGCGCAAGTGCAGCACGCAAAAGCGAGCTTTGGTAACAAGCGCCGTGCAGCTTGAACCACCGCTGTGCAATTCGAGAACACTCGAAGTGGAGGTGGCTGCACTCCTCAAAAAGCAAGCGCATGACCCATGCTGCGTTCACGCGGGCTTTCAACGGTAGTGACTTTTCGGGCACCTGGATGGGTTGCGTTCTATGTAGAGGTAGCTGCCACAAAGTCGCAGCGAGTTCCGGGGCGTAGCTCCTGAAACCTGAGGAGCTGTTGGAGGCCTCGGGGGGCGACCCGGCGCTGCGGCAGCTGCGGGATCTGTGCCGAGATCGGCTGGCGGCGGACCTCTCGCAGCTCGTGGTCTCGAGCGATGGCCTTGCCGGCCGCGAGGGCTGCGACCCCTCCGAGCTGCTGGCGGAAGCGCGGCGCCGTGGCTCGGCGGACACGCGTACAGGGGAGAATCTTGCACGAGCGGGGAAATATGGAGAAACCCGGGAGAAGCGCGGAGATCAAACAGCCCGGGCATTCCATGGCTTAGCGGGTGCCTGCCGATATTCTTTATCGGCCATGCGCTCTCATTGAGGCTTGGCAGTGCTGGAGGAAGAGACGGCTGGTCAGCGGTTTGCCCGGCGCCGGCGCGCCAGCGAGGCCGGAGCCGAGCTCCTTTCGGCAGTTCGGCAGTTGCCCGATGAATGGTTGCATAGAGTTGTTCTCGACTTTTGATTTACACTTCCTCCCACTAACATGGCAACGCACACGGGGTCCCTTCAAAAGGAATTTGATCTTCCAGGTACCTCCCCACAGGTGCCATGTTAGTTGGAGGAAGCGTAGGTGGTTTCAACCACCACGGGGATGCTGGAGAAATTTCACACAAACTGGAATGCCCGGCTATGTAGCGGTTATAAGCCCTGTTAGTTTTCGGGTTTCAGCTCTGCAGGGCAGTGGACACCATCTTAGGATGCTGAAACGCTGGTTGTGGCTTGCTTGTTGGAAAAGAAACTTGAGTCTTGTCGGGTCTTGAAGGGAACCTGTTCAAAGCACAAAGGTTGCAGTTTTGGACCGCACCACGTTTTGCACATGGTGAGCACAACATGGTGAGCAGTTCTTTTACTTTGCTGGGGAAGTGTGCTCCATATTGCAACCCCTTGTGACGTGCGAATCCTTGGCCTTCGATATCAGATCTCGACAGATGTTGAATGCACTTAGCCTCTTGCAGCACAACGCGCCCGCCAGGATCCCAGCACAGTCGCAGGGATGGCTAGTCACATTCAACGCCTGGAGGCTGGGGGCCCTCTGAAGACTTGAGCTGAGTCTTGTATCCCTGAAACCTTGGGAAGGCGGACCCTTGGATGTCCGCTTGGAGCAAGCCGAGTTTCTTCGCGGAAGACTTGCGACATGGGAACGTAGCCTCACCCCCATCGCCCCAAGAGGTGAGAGCGACCGCAGTCCTCAGCCAGGAGCAACTTCAAGAACTGCGCAGCAGAATGCAGCGCCTGCGAGGTGACATCGGCCAGCCCGACAAGGACAGATTCATAGCATATGAGCAGTGTCCAAAAACCCATTGACATAGCATGGTTGGACGGCTTAATATCTAGCTATGATCAAATATCTAATCTATGTTCAGTGCAAAAGGTCAGTTTGGAACGGACCTGGGGGTGCTCCCTCAATTAGCAATCGAAGAAGGGAACGACCCCCAGTTTTCCTCGATATATGTACATGTTGACCGTGGCTCACATGCCCTGGGCAGCTTTGGCATAGTTTGCATTAAGCAGCACCCAAAACCATTTCCTTTTGGCATTACCCGTTGAGTAAGCGGCGCTACTTTGATTCGCCTTGACCACATTATAGACCCAAAGTCAGTGGGCTTTGGAAGCTTCACTATTTGACTGTATGCACATTTCGACCTTTGTGCCTATGGGGAACAGTATGTAAGAACTGTCTTGGTGACGTAGGGGTCGAGAGGCCCGTGAGAGTCAGATGCTGGTCTATTCCAGCTGTTCTAGAGAGACGATTCTATGTGGCATTGTTTGTGGGTGTATGAATTGCCATACAGTGAACGGTTTGCCATCATTTTCAGTCAACTCTGCCGTGCCTTGTTTGCTTTGCCTGCATCATAGAACTGTGTGGTTCACCGCAGGACTCGGCAATGCTGGCGGCACATGTACTGGAACACGAGCGCTGCTCGGACATGCGGAAGGGATCCTCTGGACGAAAAACAGCATTTGACTCATGCAGAGCTTCCAACATGAATAAAGCAAATGGTCTTTCGGCAAGGGTTCTCAAAGCCCCCGGCGAATTTGATGCTGGCCAGCACATCTTCCAAATGGTGGGAACTGTGTGTAGTGCACGTGGAGCATGCGGAGCATGCGCCACCGAACAAATCTCGCGTGCTGTGATTTGTGTCTTCTTGTTTTGTTGCAGTGTTGGGCCGCGCTTTGCGATTCAGAGCAAACAGGTTTACACATTTCATGGTTGCACCACACGGTTCTCTCAATAGTTTTGATATTGGGTGGGCGTTGGTTTCTTTTGGTTTCCCTTGAACACAAATCTCAAAACACGAAGAGCCCAACATTCATATTCCTGGGGCCAAGAACCCAGACTTCAAAGAAGAAGGAGCCGAATCCAAAAAACATCCCTATTCTCCACCCAGTTTTTCTGTTTCACCACCCACCCCACCCCTCAACCCCCGCGCAACCCACTGAGCTACCTCCCCCCCAACAGACCCGTCACTTCCAACCAAGGCTCTTTGGAGGACATGGCGCATGAGTGGCAGCGCTGCCAACGCCAATTGCAGTGCACGGAGGCTGGAAAGAGAAGTCTTATGCGAGAAACATGACCATGGCAGCATGGCATCGTTTCTCCCTTTGGTTTCCCATGTCACAACCACTCCAAAGGCACCCTCCAATTTGTGTGGAACACCCTCCAATGGTTGGACACAATTCCAAGCATGTAACACATGTCCACAGAGCCCGCCACAAAGTTAAGACCCTGTTTCTTGGTACTGGCTTGCCTTGACATCCCCCCCAACCAAAATGGGTGGCCAAAAAGAGTACGCCAAGCAAGTGAGAGGCCCATATTCCGTGTGCAACAAAGTTGTCGTACCGGGTGGCTGAGCGTCTCAGCTTGCGGGAGGTGTCCAGTTCCCACGGCCAGGAAGACGAGCTGCAGGCTGGGGGATCGTTGGATCGGCTCATGCTGAGAAGATTGGCTCGGGGGAAAGGCTGCAGCGCGGCGGCGGCAGTGAAACCCGGGTCGAGGGCTGGAGAGCTGTGAAGTCAAACCCAAGTGCGTGTTTCCAAGCATTAGGCCGCAGGAAAGCTTGCCAAAAGCAGAGACCCTGCTGGGAGGCCCGTTTCAGTGACGTTTCGACGTTCTTTCTTTCAGGGTTTATTTGCCGGACCCCTGGACCGTTCTTTCAACTGAGAGATGGGCTCAGGCCCAGTCGGACCTTGTGGGGGACCTGCTTCGTGGGTGCCGAAGTTCCAATGCGGCGCTCGCCCGGGAGATCGCCGAGGCGGGCGAGTTACTCTCACACTCGTTCCAACTTTCCCGCATGTGGCTTCCCGCGTGTTGACGTGTTGGGTGTAGGGTTGCGTTTGAGCCTTTGTCGTGTGGGATCGTTTGCAGCGGATCCGGGATCCTCGACTTTTGCTAGAGCGCATGACACGGGCAAGCGTGAAGCATTTTTTGGTAGCTGAATCAGCAGCTTGCGATTATGCAAAGTCATCCTCTTGGGCAGTACAAACTCTTTCGGAGTGCAACGCGGGCGACTTGTCACGCTTCAGAAATGATCAATGTTTATTGCAAAAGCACTTTGCCAACATGCTTGCGAATGAAGAAACCGAGTCTTCAAAGTGACTTGACTCAGGCCAGCTTGGACGATCCAGCCATCGCGGCAATTCTGTCAAAGCGCACGGACAAGAAGGCCTTTGCTGATGACGATCGGTCGCCGGACTTGAATCCATGCGTGGATCCTGTCAGAAGAAGACCAAGACGGATCAGATCTTAAAAAAGGAGATCCCACCAACAAACAGTCAATTGTGCAGAATATATTTTGCAAACCTTCTGCTCTTTTGGCTACACAAACGCCAAACCCATACTATTCCAATACAAACACAATGCAGCACCAATACAAATCAATACGAAGCAGTATGAAACGATTCTACACAAACTCAACCAATACAAAACAACACTAACTCAAAGGCTACTCGAAGGTGTGGAATTGTTGTAGCTGTTCGGGTGTATCATGAGGCTGCCTGGAATGAGTTTCCGAGATAAAGCTGTGAATGCTGTCTATACCATTATGATGCTACCTTGTGGTTAATATGTTGTCTACATCATACATAATTATGATGCTGCTTTGCGCTGCACAAATGGTGTGCAGTGTTGGGGTCAAGTGATTGTGACAAGTTTTGAGGGATCGTACGTTTTGGGTGGGGGGTGTTGGGATTTGGGATCATTCAGCGCAGGGTGCGGTTTAAGGCAAGCGCTGCTGGAGGAGGCGCTTCGGCGTCTGGCACGGTTCGACGACCAGCTGGAGAGGCAGCGGGGCGCTCTGGCAAGGCGCGGTGTGCGGCGTGCGGCGCGCTGCTGGCTTTGGGGGCGTTGGGGGCGTTGGGGGCGTGGGGGCGCGTTGGGACATGATGTCGTGTCACCAGTGACCCGACCCGAGGCGGAGGAAAATGGGGCAGTCTGCGGATTTGGACGATGACGATCTCAGGCAGCTCCTTGCAGACAAGGCAACCGCCCTGGAGACACTGGAGGATTCCCAGCTGCAGTGCCACAATGTGCAAAACTTTGCTCGACCATGCCGGGTTTTGCGCATTTTTTGCAGCTCCCACGTGCGTCGAAACCCGAGGAGCTGTTGGAGACCTCGGGGGGCGACCCGGCACTGCGGAGGCTGCGAGATCTGTGCCGAGATCGGGCGGCGGACCTCGAGCAGCTCGTGGCCTCGAGCGATGGCCGTGCCGGTCGCGAGGGCTGCGACCCCTCGGCGCTGCTGGCGGAAGCGCGGCGCCGTGGCTCGGCGGACATGGATGGGCGCCGCATCGCCCACCAGCGGAGAAAAACCGGGAAAAGCGCGGAGATCAAACAGCCCAGGGCATTCCATAGCTTCGGTGCTTGCCGGGCATTGGCCGTCTATCAACTGAGGCTTGGCGGTGCTGGAGGAAGAGTCGGCTGGTCAGCGGTTTGCCCGGCGCCAGCGCGGCAAAGCAGCCGAGAAGGCCGAGACAATTGCTCGTTACGCCAAGATTTGTGGGTGCGTACAGTTTGTCCCTTACTTTGGGATGGTTTCCGCTCTCAACCACGGCCAAGGGCTTTGGGTATGCAGCGGCTACAAACCCCATTTGGTTCTGAGTTGGATTGTGATTGGGGGCAGTGAACACCATGTCAGGATGCTGTACTGTTTGTTGAGGCGCTGCTTGGACTCAACACAACTTGTGCCTTTCAGGGAAGCCAACTAGCAGGGGCAGGGATACAGGGGGAACCAGGGATACGGGAGGATTCCCCATAAATGCACCTTGACTAAGTTTGATATGGGAAATGGCGCCAAGGGATTCCCCCCAGATCCCCGCTCCCTCCGTATCCCCGCTTGTTCGTTTGTCATGTTTGTCCAAGCCTTGCCGAATCTTGAAGAACCCTGCGGTGAACCTTTTCAACGAAGAAAGGTCACGCATTTGGGACAGCCCCTGGCCCAGGTCAGGTGTTTTTCAACGTGTTTTCTTTTGTTTGTGCCGTGCACATACTTTGTGCACACTGGAGTTCCGAAAGTTATCGACCCCCCCCCAACCCCCTCCCCTCAACCCCTTAGAACATGCTGCAAACACTGGAATTTCCCATGTGAGAGGCACCAAAAGCAGCAGCAAGAGCCCACGTTACTTTTTTGTTGGAGACTGTAGCCCCTTGAGACGTGCGAAGCCTTCCCGGCCTTCGATGGGTCAGATCTCGACGGATGGACGCGCCGGCCAGGATCCCAGCACAGACGCAGAGATGGCCAGTCACATTCAACGCCTGGAGGCTGGGTACCCACTTTTTCTGGCATTTCGATTCATGACTACCAGCATTGGCCACATTCGACGCCCAGATCTCTGCATACCCCCCACACCCTCACAAATGGGACTTGGGGGATTGCAGCGGACCCCTGGAATTCCAATTCGAGCAACCCGAATTTATTTTCGCAAGACTTGCAGCAACATGGGAATGGCGCAACCCCACCCCAGAGGAAAGAGCGACCGCAGTCTGCCAGGAGCAACTTCAAGAGCTGCGCGGCAGAATGCAGCACGTGCGGGGTGACATCGGCCAGCCCGACAAGGACTGAGACAGCCCTATGTGAGCAATGCCCAAAACTCATTCGCTGAACCTGGCTGAAAAAGGTTAACATGTAGACCAGAGGGTCGCTTTGCACGTCTAATTATGGTGAAACGTTCAGCCAGTGTTCAGTTTGTGGTCATCTTGACATGCGGAGGAGACTCACCAACAAAGAGAGATACAAGATTAACCACGGGCGTGAACCCCAATTGTCCCATATACATATATATATATATATCGCATAGTTAAAAAAAAAAAAAAAAAACTTACATGTGATGACTTCATAGATAAACCTTTCTGACCATATTGGTAGAACCACAAGTCAATGGGTTTGCGTATGCACATTCGACCTTTGCCCCATGGGTAACAGTCTGTCATAGTTCAACTTTATGTGAGCGCGTGTGTGTGTGTGTGTGGTTTATGAGCTTGATTGTTTTTCGTACAGCAGAGACCAACTCGTTTTCCTGCAGTTGCTGCAGGACTCATCAATGTTGGCGGCACACGTGCTCGCTCACGAGAGCTGCTCGGCAGGAACATTCGGCGACCGGTCTTATGGCAATGGTTCTCAGAATGCCCGTGCAGGTTAATTGGATGCAGCCGGTTTCGTGGGGTTGTGTGGTGAGTGCGGTGCATGCGCCATCGAACAAATCTGGTGTGCTGTTATTTGTCCTGACGTTTTCGCACAGTTTCAACTCCATGTGTGGTTCTGACGAATGCGCTCCCATTTTCTCCGCAGGGGTTTCCGCTGAGGTCGTCCATATGGCGTCCCCCCTTGGCAAAGCGTCAACATCCTGGTCTGCCGAGCAAGGAATTTGTATGAAATTGTTGCAGAGTTTGTTGGTTTTGCAAATTCAATTTTTACAAGGCACAATTCATGAAAAGACTGGAGGTGCTGAAAGTACGCTCTAATAAGAGCTGGTTTAGTATTGAATCAATGAAAAGTAATTTTTCCGATAATATTCCTGAAACCTAGTAGGCCCGATAATAGGGGGAAGCGATTATTTGTTTTTGGATATGTCTCTAAATTGGAAAATATGGAACCCAACCAAGACGGCCTTTGGTTCCCTTTTGTTTCTGCTCGGAATCAATCTCAAAACGTGTACACTCAAAACAAGATCCCACCAAGCGGATAACATCAAGAAAGGAGGCAAGGATTATCCTCATACAAGTTGCAACAGACCAGCCGTAACATTTCGGACAAGCTGGAAGGGAGAAGCTGCAGGCATTCAGAGTATGCAGTGTTTGGGCCGAAACCTCTTTGTAAATGGGATAAACCGATGTATGCTTACTCTTCTGATATGTGTTTTACAGGGGGAGGCAATTCCGTTCGCAAAGATCCTCAATTGAGCATTGACCCACTAAATGTTAGTCCGCCTGACCCGTCCCGTCCACCTTTCCCACCCCAACCCCCACAAACCTCAAGCCTCCAAATCCCTCACCCTCTGAGGCTCTTTGGAGGAGATGGCACGTCAGTGGCAGCGCTGTCAATTCCACTGCACGGAGGCGGGTTTTCCCCTACCCATGGCATCGGTTTTCCGATGAGTTTCCCTCTGAATCCACCAGACAAGCCATGGGTTGCCTAGAGTTGATTGGCTGGCGGCCTTTGACCCCGCCACTTTTGCTGAGTGCCTCGCTTTGGCAACGAAACCCAGTGGGGTGCAGCAGTGCTCAAGAGCTGTGGAGTCAAGATAGTCAAGTAAACGTTTCTAAGTACGGCCTCAAGAAAGATAGGCACGCCTGGGGGCTTGCAAACAGTGAGAGACCCTTTTTGGAGGCGGTTTCGGTGTTTTGTGCCCTTGTTTTCAAGGGTCCAGGATTTCGACGTTCTTTCTTTGAGATTTCTTTGCCGGACCCCTGGACCGTTCTTTCAGCAGAGAGATGGGCTCAGGCCCAGTCGGACCTTCTGGGGGACCTGCTTCGTGGATGCCGAAGTTCCAATGCGGCGCTCGCCCGCGAGATCGCCGAGGCGGCCGAGTGACTCTCACACGCTTTCCGACTTCCCCGGAGTGGCTCCTCGCGTGTTGACGTGGTGGGTGTAGGGTTGTGTTTGAGCCTTTGTCGTGTGGGATCGTTTTCAGCGGATCCGGGATCCTCGACTGTTGTTAGAGCGCGTGAAGCGGGCAAGCGTGAAGCATTCTCCGGTAGCAGGAGTTCAGACTTCCCATTTCCTATTGCAAAAGCCCTTTGCCAACACGTTTGCGAATCAAAAAATACAAGTCTTCAAAGTGACTTGACTCAGGCCAGCTTGGATGATCCAGCCGTCGTGGCAATTCTGTCAAAGCGCACGGACAAGAAGGCCTTTGCTGATGACGATCGGTCGCCGGACTTGAATCCATGCGTGGATCCTGTCAGAAGAAGACCAAGACGGATCAGATCTTAAAAAAGGAGATCCCACCAACAAACAGTGTTTTGTGCAGACCAACTTTTCGAAACCATTTGCTCTTTTGGCTACACCAACCCCAAACCCATACTATTCCAATACAAACACAATGCAGCACCAATACAAATCAATACGAAGCAGTATGAAACGATTCTACACAAACTCAACCAATACAAAACAACACTAACTCAAAGGCTACTCGAAGGTGTGGAATTGTTGTAGCTGCTCGGGTGTATCATGAGGCTGCCTGGAATGAGTTTCCGAGATAAAGCTGTGAATGCTGTCTACATCATTATGATGCTACCTTGTGGCCAACATGTTGTCTACATCATACATCATTGTGATGCTGCTTTGCGCTGCCCACATCGTGTGCAGTGTCGGGGTCAAATGATTGTGACAATGTACGTTTTGGGTGGGGGGGTGTTGGGATTTGGGATCATTCAGCGCAGGGTGCGGTTTAAGGCAAGCGCTGCTGGAGGAGGCGCTTCGGCGTCTGGCACGGTTCGACGACCAGCTGGAGAGGCAGCGGGGCGCTCTGGCAAGGCGCGGCGTGCGGCGTGCGGCGTGCTGCCGGCTTTGGGGGCGTTGGGGGACGTGGGGGCGCGTTGGGGCTTGATGTCGGGTCACCCGTGACCCGACCCGAGGCGGAGGAAAATGGGGCAGTCTGCGGATTTGGACGATGACGATCTCAGGCAGCTCCTTGCAGACAAGGCAACCGCCCTGGAGACACTGGAGGTTGCCCAGCTGCAGTGCCACAATGTGCAAAACTTTGCTCGACCATGCCGGGTTTTGCGCATTTTTTGCAGCTCCCACGTGCGTCGAAACACGAGGAGCTGTTGGCGACCTCGGGGGGCGACCCGGCGCTGTGGAGGCTGCGAGATCTGTGCCGAGATCGGGCGGCGGACCTCGAGCAGCTCGTGGCCTCGAGCGATGGCCGTGCCGGTCGCGAGGGCTGCGACCCCTCGGCGCTGCTGGCGGAAGCGCGGCGCCGTGGCTCGGCGAAGACGGGTGCAGGCAAAGCATCTTGCACGAGCGGGGAAACCCGGAGAAAGCGCAAAGATCAAACAGCCCGGCGCATTCCGTAGCTTCGGTGCTTGCCAGGCATTGGCCGTCTATCTGAGGCTTGGCAGTGCTGGAGGAAGAGACGGCTGGTCAGCGGTTTGCCCGGCGCCAGCGCGGCAGAGCAGCCGAGAAGGCCGAGGCATTTGCTCCTTCCAAGATCTGTGGTTCCGTACAGTTTGTCCCTTAAAGGGATGGTTTCCGCTCTCAACCACGGCCAAGGGCTTTGGGTATGCAGCGGCTACAAACCCCATTTGGTTCTGAGTTGGATTGGATTGTGATTGGGGGGCAGTGAGCACCATCTCAGGATGCTAAACCGTTTGTTGAGTCTCGCTGCTTGGAATCAACACAACTTGAGCCTTGCCAGATCTTGAAATCGATCTCGAGTTTGGGACAGCCCCTCGGCCAGTGTTTTTCAATGTGTTTTCTTTTGTTCGCGCCGTGCACATACTTTGTGCACACTGGAGTTCCGAAAGTTATCACCCCCCCCAACCCCCTCCCCTCAACCCCTTAGAACATGCTGCAAACACTGGAATTTCCCATGTGAGAGGCACCAAAAGCAGCAGCAAGAGCCCACGGTACTTTTTTGTTGGAGACTGTAGCCCCTTGAGACGTGCGAAGCCTTCCCGGCCTTCGATGGGGTCAGATCTCGACGGATGGACGCGCCGGCCAGGATCCCAGCACAGACGCAGGGATGGCCAGTCACATTCAACGACTGGAGGCTGGGTACCCACTTTTTCTGGCATTTCGATTCATGACTACCAGCATTGGCCACATTCGACGCCCAGACTTGAGCCGAGTCGTCCCTGCATACCCCCACACCCTCAGAAATGGGACTTGGGGGATTGCAGCGGACCCCTGGAATTCCAATTCGAGCAACCCGAATTTCTTTTCGCAAGACTTGCAGCAACATGGGAATGGCGCAACCCCACCCCAGAGGAAAGAGCGACCGCAGTCTGCCAGGAGCAACTTCAAGAGCTGCGCGGCAGAATGCAGCACGTGCGGGGTGACATCGGCCAGCCCGACAAGGACTGAGACCGCCCTATGTGAGCAATGCCCAAAACTCATTTGCTGAACCTGGCTGAAAAAGGTTAACATGTAGACCAGAGGGTCGCTTTGCACGTCTAATTATGGTGAAACGTTCAGCCAGTGTTCAGTTTGTGGTCATCTTGACATGCGGAGGAGACTCACCAACAAAGAGAGATACAAGATTAACCACGGGCGTGAACCCCATTTGTCCCATATATCTCGCATATTAAAAAGAAGAAGTGGAAAAACAAACAAGCAAAACAAAACAAACAACTTACATGTGTTGACTTCATAGATAAACCTTTCTGGCCATATTGCAGAACCACAAGTCAATGGGTTTGCGTATGCACATTTCGACCTTTGCCCCATGGGTAACAGTCTGTCATAGTTCAATTTTATGTGAGCGCGTGTGTGTGTGTGGGTGTGGTTTATGAGCTTGATTGTTTTTCGTACATCATGGACCAACTTGTTTTCCTGCAGTTGCTGCAGGACTCAGCAATGTTGGCGGCACACGTGCTCGCTCACGAGAGCTGCTCGGCAGGAGGAAGATTCGGCGACCGGTCTTATGGCAATGGTTCTGAGAATGCCTGTGCAGGGTAATTGGATGCAGCCGGAACATATGCAGTTTCGTGGGGTTGTGTGGTGAGTGCGGTGCATGCGCCATCAAACAAATCTGGTGTGCTGCTATTCGTGTCCTGACGTTTTCGCACAGTTTCAACTCCATGTGTGGTTCTGAACAAATGCGCTCCCATTTTCTCCGCTTGCGCAACACGATTCTTCCAAAGAATCGCTTCCCCCTATTGTTCAGTCCCGGGACCCCCCCCTTTCGTGTCAATAAATAGTTTTTTTAGGAAGACGTATTTACTAGCAATTATATAGGGTCTCAGGGGGTCGCAGGGGTTCCGCCGAGGTCGTCCATATGGCGTCCCCCCCTTGGGAAAGCGTCAACATCCTAGTCTGCCGAGTAAGGAATTTGTATGAAATTGTTGCAGGCAGTTTGGTTTTGCCAATTCAATTTTTACAAGGCACAATTCATGAAAAGACTGGAGGTGCTCAAAGTACCCTCTGATAAGAGCTGGTTTAGTATTGAATCAATTATAAGTAAAAGGTTGCTGTTTTCTGATTATGTGCTGAAACCTAGTAGGCCCGATAATAAGGGGAAGCGATTATTTTTTGGATATATATATATATATATTATGTCTCTAAATTGGATAGTATATTGGAACCCAACCAAGACGGCCTTTGGTTCCCTTTTGTTTCTGCTCGGAATCAATCTCAAAACGTGTACACTCAAAACGAGATCCCACCAAGCGGATAACATCAAGAAAGGAGGCAAGGATTATCCTCATACAAGTTGCAACAGACCAACCGTAACATTTCGGACAAGCTGGAAGGGAGAAGCTGCAGGCATTCAGAGTATGCAGTGTTTGGGCCGAAACCTCTTTGTAAATGGGATGAACCGATGTATGCTTACTCTTCTGATATGTGTTTTAAAGGGGGAGGCAATTCCGTTCGCAAAGATCCTCAATTGAGCATTGACCCACTAAATGTTAGTCTGCCTGACCCGTCCCGTCCACCTTTCCCACCCCCAACCCCCACAAACCTCAAACCTCCAAATCCCTCACCCTCTGAGGCTCTTTGGAGGAGATGGCACGTCAGTGGCAGCGCTGTCAATTCCACTGCACGGAGGCGGGTTTTCCCCTACCCATGGCATCGGTTTTCCGATGAGTTTCCCTCTGAATCCACCAGACAAGCCATGGGTTGCCTAGAGTTGATTGGCTGGCGGCCTTTGACCCCGCCACTGTTGCTGAGTGCCTCGCTTTGGCAACGAAACCCAGTGGGGTGCAGCAGTGCTCAAGAGCTGTGGAGTCAAGATAGTCAAGTAAACGTTTCTACCTACGGCCTCAAGAAAGATAGGCACGCCTGGGGGCTTGCAAACAGTGAGAGACCCTTTTTGGAGGCGGTTTCGGTGTTTTGTGCCCTTGTTTCCAAGGGTCCAGGATTTCGACGTTCTTTCTTTCAGAGGGTTCTTTGCCGGATCCCTGGACCGTTCTTTCAGCAGAGAGATGGGCTCAGGCCCAGTCGGACCTTGTGGGGGACCTGCTTCGTGGATGCCGAAGTTCCAATGCGGCGCTCGCCCGCGAGATCGCCGAGGCGGGCAAGTTACTCTCACACGCCTTCCGACCTTCCCGGAGCTCCCGGCGTGTTGACCCTTTGGGTGTAGGGTTGTGTTTGAGTCTTTGTCGTGTGGGATCGTTTTTAGCGGATCCAAGATTCTCGACTGTTGTTGGAGCGCGTGAAACGGGCAAGCGTCTCTGGTAGCAGGAGTTCAGACTTCCCATTTCCTATTTCAACAGCCCTTGCCAACATGTTTGCAAATGAAGAAACCAAGTCTTCAAAGTGACTTGGCTCAGGCCAGCTTGGATGATCCAGCCGTCGCGGCAATTCTGTCAAAGCGCACGGACAAGAAGGCCTTTGCTGATGACGATCGGTCGCCTGACTTGAATTCATGCCTGGATCCTGCGAGAAGAAGATCAAGACGGATCAGATCTTGAAAAGGAGATCCCACCAACAAACAGTCAATTGTGCAGACCGCCTTTTGGAAACCTTTAGCTCTATTGGGAAAGCAGCCTGTGCTCCACGCCATGTTGGAGGCAACACTAAGCAGTATGAGACAACTCTACACAAACTCAATACACAACAACACTAACCTCAAAGGCTAATCGAAGGGGGGCGTTTGGAATGAGTTTCCGAGATAAGGCTGTGTTTGATTTGATGTCGTTCTGCTATTCCAATGTTGTCCACAATATGGTGTTAATTGGTGGCCAAAAATGCTGTCTACATCATGATGATGCTGCTTTGGGGTCGAATGATTGTGCACAAGTGTTGAGGTATTGTCCGTTTGGGCGGGCGTTGGGGAGCATTCAGCACGGGGTTTAAGGCAAGCGCTGCTGGAGGAAGCGCTTAGGCGCCTAGCGCGGTTCGACGACCAGCTGGAGAGGCAGCGGGGCGCTCTGGCAAGGCGCTGCTGGACACGGGCGATGGGGTTGTTGGGGGCGTCCAATATGGGGGGCATTGGGACATGATGTCCCGACCCGAGGCGGAGGAAAATGGGGAAGTCGGCGGATTTAGACGATGACGATCTCAGGCAGCTCCTTGCAGACAAGGCAACTGCCCTGGAGACACTGGAGGTTGCCCGGCTGCAGTGCCACAATGTGCAACACTTTGCTCGATCATGCTGGGCTTTGCGCAATTTGATCAGCTCCCACGTGCGTCTAAACCTGAGGAGCTGTTGGAGACCTCGGGGGGCGACCCGGCGCTGCGGAGGCTGCGGGATCTGTGCCGAGATCGGGCGGCGGACCTCGAGCAGCTCGTGGCCTCAAGTGATGGCCCTGGCCGCGAGGGCTGCGACCCCTCCGCGCTGCTGGCGGAGGCGAGGCGCCGTGGCTCGGCGGACACGTGTACAGGCAAAGCATCTTGCACAACGCGGAGAAACCCGGAGATCAAACAGCTCGGGGCATTCCATGGCTTAGGTGCTTGCTAGGCAGTGGCCGTCTATCGTCTGAGGCTTGGCAGTGCTGGAGGAAGAAACGGCTGGTCAGCGGTTTGCTCGGCGTCGGCCCGGCAGAGCAGCCGAGAAGGCCGACGCATGTGCTGCAGTGCCACACTGTAAGGGCAGTTTGCTTGTCGGAACAACAGATGGCTGTGGTCAAAAATAGGTTCCCAGAATGGGACCAGGAAGTGGAAACATGGATGAACACCTGTGGTCCCTGGTGGTTTAATTTTGCCCCATACCCATGCCATTCACGCCTTGAGCGCTGCATTGCCTGGAGGCATCGTCCCGCGCAGGCTGGGAGTTCGAACATGGGTTGGTCTGACTGAATGTTCTTTGCTCGCCAACCACAGAGCTGAGTAGTTGATGGTGCTCTTGACCAGGGCAGCATGGTCCTCCGAAGATGCCGTTGACCGCGCTTCATCAGCATATATGGTAGAGTAGTGCTTCCTAGCAAAGCGAATGGAATGTGTGCAGGGTACTTGTTGTTGCTTTTCAAGCTAAGGATGATGCGAAGGATCCTTGGCTGCACTACTGCCGTTCTTCTTTCTTGCGTCGCTGCGAGTTTTGCTAAGCGTCGCCGTTTTGGCCGATGCAAAGTGAGTTCCTGGTGGGGCGACGTTTACGGGGAACTTATCTAAGCCGACCATGATCCCGATGTCAAACAGCGGACACCTGATTGGCCCGGCGGCCCAGGTTGGAAACCAAACCCAGGATCAAGAAAGAATTCGGGTGATGAAGAGGGAGTGTCCCCTTTTTAGAGGGTGTCCATTGAGGAAGCACCTGCTACAAATCAGCCAGATTGGTTCGGCCGCCCGGAAATCGGATCGCCTTTGCGCCGGCCAGCCCATCTAAGGCCCGGCAAGCTGCGCTGGCCGACGCGGCAAGACGATTGGCATGTTTCGAGGCCGGCAAAACCTTCCCAGTTCCATAAATGCCTTCTCAGGGAAGCACCCTCTTGAAAACCAATTGGACAACTTGGATGGGCTTGCCAATCTCCGTGCTCGATCCCCAGTTTTGCCGCACTTGCAATGAAGCCTGCAGCATCTTTGGCACAGGAGCAACTGGACACCCAGCGCCAGGGTCTCCTGAAGCGCCGCCGCGCGCCCGCGGCTGAGGCGCGGCGACCGGGTGGCCCATTTCAATGCTGGGCAAACCACCCGTTTTTGACCTCGGGTTGAGAATGGAACATGTACCCTCCCTCCAACCAACATGACCTTACAGAGGGTCCCTTCAGGAGCAAATTGTTCTTCCAGGTACCCTCCAACAGGTGCTATTTTAGCGGGAGAGAGGGTAATCCCTTACTATGGATGTTCAACAACCTTTCTGAACATAGGATATGAGGTTCTGTCAAAATATACGCCTGGTTATGGTCAATTTGGGGGGAGTAGCTCTATTTAAGTTTGACCAAAACCAGGGGATCCCCTCAATTAGTGGAATGTGAAAATAGCCCTTGGGTAGCTTCCCTCGTGTTCTTTGTGTTTTGTTTCTTGTATTTGCCCTCATAGGAATGGGGGGTAATGAATCTCGCTCAATATGTGTAATGCTTCCAAATGCAAAGTAAAAGCGTATGCATGGGGTACGTGTCTTTTTCCCTGACCCTCCTTTAACGCCCGCTTCCCAAGTTTCTGAGAGGCGAGTCACGTGTTCAACACGCATGCATTGGAAGTCATACGAAGTCTTCCCGCTTGCAAACAATGCGGGGGGTCAGGTTCGCTTGGATTTGCCTTTGCTGTCCAAACTCAAAAGGGTCACGTTTTGAGACCCCAAATATGTTTGTCGCTAAATGCGGGGAATCCCTAAGCTGGGTGCTTTCCCCTGTAGCTTTGATTGAAAAGAACCCCACAATGGCAGTTCCAAACGATGCAGCCAAACGTTGAATGGTCTGTGCTCATTTCCTTCGGAGGCCGACGGGGTGCTTGCAGCCCACGCCTTGCTCCACACCAGCCGCTTGGCCGTTTCGCGTCGCCTCGCTTGTTGCCAGCTGTACGAAGATGACCGCAAAAAGAGCTCTCGTCTGTGGACCCAAGTACAACCTATGTGGCTGTGGGTCAAACATAGGTACCCAAAATGGAACCCTTGTAAGTGGAAACATGGACCCAAGCCTGTGTCCCCAGGTGGTTTTATTTTGACCCATACCCGTGTGAGCGTAGGGGGTTGAGGTCCCAAGAAATTGCAGCCCCTTCTGGAACTCGGGGACCATCTTCAAGCTTCCAACATGTTTAAGTGCTCCCCCCTTTGTTTCTCCAAGCGGGGTGCATCGGTCACCTTCCCAAGCCCTCTTTCATTGGAGTCTCTGCTAGCCGAGGAGTCTTAGCCGCCAGTGGGTGGCAAGAATGGTTCGCGGACATGTTCCCCATGTAGATGGTGTCTAAAGGGTTCAATCAATGGACATTTCCCATATTGTCTTCGGCCAGGGGGCCGCTGGTCCGCCAACTCTTGGGCCCCAGATTTTAGGGGTCCTTATATTTCCATTTTCAGCCCATTCAAACTTCACCCTTGGCTCAAGTTACGTTCTTGGTTCGAGACAGGGCTTTTAGTAGCCTTGCAGATTGATCGGGTTCCATTCTTGGAGAATGGCCGCCTCTGATCCCGTGGAGCTACGCGTTGCCGGCCTGGATGGTAGGGAGCTTCGCTTCAGCACTGCAGACATCCTGGGTAAGGAATTGCTGCAGCTACTTCCATTTGCTTAAGAATCAGTTTTTATTTTATTTTCGCCTGTTGGCTTTAAAGGGAATCTATCACTGCGTGAAATATGTTTTTTCCCCAGGGGTCTTAGCCAAATCGAAGGCTTGTAAAGTCCCAGCTGCCGCCCCGGCCCGGTGGTGTGCTCAGTCTGTGGTTCGGCAACAGCAAGCTCTTGCCGAATCAGACGCTGCGGGAGCAAGGCTTGGAGTCGGTCGGGTCGGTCGGCGTGTTCACGTATATGCGGACCAATGTGCTGAAGGCTTGGGATGTACTCATGGAGGTCGATGGCGAGGATATCGACGACTTCGAGGATGCCATCGAAGCCCTGGAAGGTATCACACACATGTCCGTGGTTCACGATCACTTGCTTCCGGTTCTCCAGGGCTTACCAGCGACTTTGCAAAGCCTGACTATAGGTACTTCCAGTGATCGAAGTTTGAAAGGATTTACTTTCCCCAACAAACTGCAGAGCCTGACCTTCGGCGAGGAGTTCGATGAAAGCTTGAAGGGCATCAGCTTGCCAAGCAGTTTGAAGAGCCTGACGTTCGGCGATTTCTTTGACAAAAGCTTAAGGGGCGTCACTTTGCCCAGCAGTTTGGAGAGCCTGACATTCGGCGAGGACTGGAACAAAAGCTTGAAGGGCGTCAGATGGCCAAGCAATTTGCAGAACCTGACTTTTGGCTTCACCTTCAACCAGAGCTTAAAGGGCGCCAGCTTGCCCAGCAATTTGCAGAACCTGACATTGGGCTTCAGCTTTAACACCAGCTTGAAGGGAGTTGCTTTGCCAAGCAGCTTGCAGAGCCTGAGCTTTGGCTGCTTCAACCAAAGCTTGGAAGAGGTGACTTTGCCCGGCAGCTTGCAGAGCTTGACTTTTGGCGACAACTTTAACCGGAGCTTAACGGAAGTCGCCCTACCCAGCAGCTTGCAATGCCTCACTTTTGGCACAAGGTTTAACCGTAGTCTGCAGGGCGTCACTTTGCCCAGTAGCTTGCGCAGCCTCACTTTTGGCGACAACTTCAACCGGAGCTTCAAGGGAGTCAATCTGCCAGGAACCTTGCAGAGCCTAGTTTTCGGCCACAGCTTCAACAAGAGCTTGAAGGAAGTAAGTCTGCCCACTACCTTGCAGAAGCTGAGTTTCAATGGCAAGTTCAAGCACAGCTTGAAGGGAGTCAACCTGCCTTGTACCTTGCAGGATCTTGCTTTGGGCTGCTCCTCTGACAGCAGCTTGAATGGAGTGAACTTGCCAAGCAATTTGCATAGCTTGATGTTAGGCTGCAACAAGGGAGTGACTTTGCCCTGCAGCTTGCGGAGCCTGACTTTTAACAATACATGTTTGGAAGAGGTCAGTGTGCCCAGCAGCTTGCAGAGCCTGACGTTCGGCGATGAGTTCAACCAGAGTTTGAAGGGTGGCAGCTTGCCAAGCAGCTTGCAAAGCTTAACTTTTGGCGACACTTACAATCAAAGCTTGGAGGGGGTCACTTTGCCCAGCAGCTTACAAAGCTTAACGTTCGGCGAGGATTTCAATCAAGCTTTGCAGGCGGTTACATTGCCCAACGGCTTGCAAAGCCTCATTTTCGGCAACATGTTTGACCAGAGTTTGGAGGGCGTCAGTTTGCCCAGCAGCCTGCAGAACCTGACCTTTGGTGAGAGCTTCAATCAAAGGTTGAACAAAGTCAATCTGCCCAACAGCTTGCAGAGCCTCACTTTTGGTGAGTTCTTTGACAGAAGCCTTGCAGAGGTTTCTCTGCCATCAAGCCTGCAGAGCTTGACTCTGGGCGACGAGTTCTGCGGCAGCTTCGAGGAAGTGACGCTGCCAGTCTCGTTTCACCTTATCTCAGCTGGAGGCCTGTCATTGGATTGCTCATAAGCAGCTGCGCTGGGCGCCCTGCGCGGAAGGTTTCTTGCGAGGTTTGCAAAAGAAGATCACCTTTGGTTGCCACAAGATGAGTTTCCTTTATGGGTCATGTTTGAAGGGGAATTTTAGAGGGCCCTGGCTTCCCCCGCAAAGTTATGGAACCCAGGTCTGGAAAGGGCATCGCGAAGGGGCGAGTTTTTGCAGAGCGGAATATGGGATATCTCCGAGGTCTTCTTCGCTTGGTGGAAACATCTCGGGGTCGACCATGCCCCACGGGCGATTGGATTTGGGGGAAGCTGACTAGTGTCTTGAGACTCTGCGGGTGGGGCTTGGAGGACTTCCCAAGAGTAGATCATCCCAAGACTTGCAGAACACTCCGCCTCTGTGCTTGTCAGGTTTCCTTTGGTTCCGTGAGCCATTTGGATTTTCCATCAACTCTTATAGATGGTGGGAATTTGCCGGAACTCGCTTGCTGCTTGGAAGGGCAAGTTCTGGGAAGGAGGAACTCAGGATGTGTTCATGCATCCTGAGGCCACCCTTTGGCGAAGCTGTTTTGATTGGAAACCAAGGCCATCTTGGGGGCGCTTGGGGGTTCCCTGTTAGACAAGCCCATGTTGTTCAACTCTTCCATGCCAGCTTGTATGTTGGTTCCGTGCAAGTCCGTGAAATGTTGCGCTGTCGCTCTTCAGACGGACGGACATGGATCCCAAAGACCAATTTACTTTTTGGATCGGTTGATGGGGCAAGGACTCTTTTTTTATTTGGGGGGGGGGGGGTTCCCCATGCCAGATTGTAGTAAATTCCCTTGTAGTGGTGCATTCGGCTTAAGGACCCCCCATTTTGAACAGCCCAATTTGTAGAGAAAAGAAAAGTAAGTCTCCCAGTTGCGACAAAGGTTCTATCGATGCGCTGGCTTCAGAGCGGGATGCCTGCTACCAGCACTGCCAGAAGCTATTGCAGGAGAGGGCGGCACCATTTGGGATGTCAATGACTTGGTCAGAATCACCGTTGGAAGGACATGTCACTAGCCACAGTTTCTCAACTACATACCATTGTTCATACCCCTTGAACAACAGCAAGGCCTTGGTCATTTGAGCAAGGCGTATGTAAAACGGGTATGTACAAGCCCAATACACTCTAGAATCCTTAAGGTGGTGTTTGAATGCAGGGTTGGGCAAAATTTAGATAGGCTTGAACAAAAAGGCTATGGCCCTTTAAAAAGGAGGCCACGAGAAGTTTGTTAAAACTCTAGTGGTTTAGACGTGTTTAGCAAAAGGTCACGGCGCCATTACCGCAATACTTCCCTCGCAACGGTCACAACCAAACATTGGTATTTCCCAATGCATCGTCAAGAGTGGTAATCGTGGGCATTGTCCTACGTACTGTACTTTGCAGCACTCTTGTCTTATTCTTTGCATTCCCCATTGGAGCGTACCGGATGCACAGCCACGGTCTCCGCACAGCCTGTTTTTGGCTGCCGCGTACATCGCCTTTCTGAGCTTCTTGCTCTTCAATAGTTGAAGACTGTCCTGCTTATCTGAGCTTCTTATGAGACCGCCGTGCACCAAACTAGTCGTGCTGGTCTTGCAATTGTTTCTAAACACCCAACTCATCACGCAGCGCCACACTCACTTCAAGTGTCATTGGATCAAGTGCCTGCGTGTGTGTCCGCATGTGTCTGTGTGTACAGTGTGTGTATGTGTGTGTGTGTGTCTGTCTGTGTGTGTGCGTGTGCGTGTGTGTGTGTGTCTTGTTGTGTCTGTGTGTTTGTGTGTCTGTGTCTGCGTGTCTGTCTGTGTGTTTCTGTGTGTGTGTGTCTATGTGTGTCTGTCTGTGTCTGCGCGTGTCTGTATGTGTGTGTGTGTGTCTGTGTGTGTGTGTGTGTGTGTCTGTGTGTGTGTGTCTGTGTGTGTGTGTGTCTGTGTGTGTGTCTGTTTGTTTCTTTGTCTGTGTCTGTGCGTCTGCGTGTGTCTGTGTGTGTGTGCGTGGGAATGTGTGTGTGTGTGTGAGTGTGTGTGTGTGCGTGCGTGCATGCGGGCGGACGGACGGGTGTGTGTGTGTGTGTGCGTGTGTGTGTGTGTGTGTGTCTTGTGTGTGTGTGTGTGTGTGTGTGTGTGTGTGTGTGTGTGTGTGTGTGTGTGTGTGTGTGTGTGTGTGTGTGTGTGTGTGTGTGTGTGTGTGTGTGTGTGTGTGTGTGTGTGTGTGTGTGTGTGTGTGTGTGTGTGTGTGTGTGTGTGTCTGTGTGTGTGTGTGTGTATGTGCGAGCGCTTGTCTCTGTCTGCACGAGGGAAGCGGCGTGCGCACGCCCCAGCATGCTGCGTGCGTGCGTGCGTGCGCGTGGGTGTGTGTGTGTGTGTGTGTGTGTGTCTGTGTGTGTGTGTGTGCGCCTGTGTATGCATTGACAGACGCAAAGAATGAAGATTGCAACATGTTCGAGAACATCCACACCCACCCCTCCCACCCCTCCCACCCCCCCAACCCCGAAAAGCGGTTTGAGAGCTCATGGTCGCTCATGGCGCCCTGAGCTTAAACTGGGAGTTTGAATCGCCCTGTTTTCACCGGACCTGGTTTTTCTGAGGAGGCATCCGTCGAGTCCTGGACAGAGGATGAGAAGGTGGCCTGCCAGCGACTGGCAGCGTCTTGGATCGTAGATTGGAGTCGAGATGTGGGGGGTATTTGTTTTTTGAGCACCTTTTTCGGGTTGGTGTTGAGGGAAACCAGCAGTAATTTGTATCATCTTGTAAGGTCTCCCATTTTGACACAAGCCTTGGACAGCAGCAACACTTGTGGTTTTCCTTTTGGTTTCACTGAATACTTCATCAGCTCGGCCTTAGTTGATAAGAAGTCAAAGGCGGCGTCCTATTGAAACGCCCGCGAAAGCTTGCGAAACAAATTTGTTCACGCCAACAACAGAGACGTGTTTTTTTCGGCCGCCTAAAAAAGTTTGACCCCCAGAAGCTCCAGGAAGGCACTGTCACGCACTGGGTGACATGTGTTTTCATAAGGGAGCGCTTTGCCAGCCGCGAAAGCAAACCTGAGACATGAGATCGCGAAGGCATCGCGAAAGGGCCCGGGAAAGCGCACTCATAGTACCGTTTTTTGGCACAAGAGTGTTCGGAACTGCTCTTATGATCTTATGGAGTAAGAAAACAACAGGTTGAGTTCAAACCAAGGTGGAATATTACCGAGTTTCAGACAAGCTCGCACCCACGTTTTCCCTGGATTCTACCCGCAAGCTTTGTATGTGTTTGGTTTGGCTCGCTGAACGCTCAGCTCTGATGTTTCTAGCGCGCGTGAACTTGAGCGCAGCTCCAACTTAGCTTTTGCAGGGCCGCAACATGAGGAAGGACACCAAGGGCCTCGGTGCCTTTCAGCACAGGCTCCTAGCACCTTGAAAGAATAGGCTATTACAATAGTTCTGAACAGCCCTAGAGGGTAGGGACCCCAGTGGTGGTGTCCTTTTACCCTTTTTTTGGGGAGGGTTCCCCTGCTAAAATAGACTACAGAAAAAAGGGTACCCTTATTCTAACCTCTCTACTGGAGGACCGTGTAGAGCCTACCGTGTCTCCTTGACTTTCTTGTGGAGATTTCACGAGCGCAGTTTGGTCGCTTCAGTCCTATCGCATCGAACTACTTCTCAGCCGTGGCCTGCATCTTGACGTACAGTGATTCAGTGATTCGATCGCGTGCCGTTTATGGCATGATATAGCATGCCTCACGTTTCCCATTGCATCATTCCTTGTTGATTCCTTATTCATTTGTTTTATTTTAAAGGAAAACAAACAGCAGACCCGTGGGTTCCTGTTTGGATGATGTCCTTCGGCCTCCCTTGCTTGAGTCAAGGCGTTCTGTTCGCATCTGCTTGAAGGGAAGTCAATAGAAGCCGAAGCATGCTTAGTGGAACGAGGTTTTGAGGGCCACTTTCTGTGATTTTAAGGGAATCTGGCGACTTTGGTATCAAAGAACGGGTTACTTCCCACAACCAGGCATGGTCCACTTCCATGTTTAAAAGAGGGTTCTCCAAGGCTTCTTACCTTGGGATTCCATCTCACAACCATGAACTGACCCCCATTTTTCTAGGGGTTGATTCCTTTTCCATTCTTTTCAGCCATCGTTCTTTTCAAAAACCAGCCAGTTCTCCAGGGTTTTTGGTTTTCTAGAAAGAAGGATCCCTGGAAAGAATGGAAGGTACCCCTGGAATTTTGTGGTGCAAGGCATCTGAGCCTTAGGCGCAGTGTGAGTCGCTGAGCGATACTTGGAGCTCCTGCGCACAGAGTGCTGAGCTTCTCAGCAAGGACGTGTCCAAGGCACATGGGTTCTCTCCATGGAATATCGGGGTGTTTTTGTCGAGGCTACATTTTTTGGTGGTTTCAAAGGGGAACAACAGGACCACCACAAATTTTGGGGGTCTCTCTATTTTGAGACAAACCCATATGAGGAGCTAACAGCGTGTTCCCATCGGGTTTGCTGGTTGATCTTGGCTTTCTGGTTTAGAATTTATTCTATGGGTTTCTGGCAGCGCGGGGTATTCATATTGGCATCCTAGGGGCTAACATTGAAATCGGACATCCCCAGAAATGGTTTCCTCGCTTTCCGTTGAAAGGACACCCTCAAAATAAGATGCACCCATATGAACTATGAAAATTCCTCCTGTTTGCGTGTTGTTTGCCATGAGAGTGTGCTTTGAACATGTGGGCCCTGATTCCCATTTGAACCTATGTTGCCAGACCATTTTGGTGGTTGAGACAACTTCCACCACCGGTCATGGGTTGGAAGCAAGGCTACTGTATGCTGTTTCTTAGTCGAGAGATGTCAGTGACAGGGGCGGCCGCACCACGGGGGCAGAGGTTGCCTTGATGTTTCTTGTCATCCAGTTCATAGAGGCCACTGGCTGAAGGTCCTTCAAGGCCACGAAGAAGAAGCGTTTCAGAAGGAAGACTTAGGCATGAGATAGTAACTGGGGTGCGACATTGCAACATGTGACGGCGCAGAATTCCAAACTTGGGGCAGACCGTGTTCAGGCAGCTCCCTCTGCCCTCACATCCATCTTGCGCAGTGATGCAGACGACACGCTGCTTGGCTGCAGGTAAATTTCGAATGTTGCCAATGTTATTGAAGGTCACCTATTCTGGGGTGAGTCCTAAACTGTAGCCCCAAAAGCGGTGTTCTTCTGCCTGTCTTTGAAGCAACATCCAAGCGTTTCTTCCTCAGTCATCCACGGGAGCCATCCCGTAGACCGGGACTAGATGCCATAGGGCTCCCCCTAGTTCAGGGAAATGGTGTCCACCAAAAAGCCCATCCAACGGGGGCTCCCCAATTTCTCTATAGGGCTTGATCTCCCCATTCTTTTCAACCAGCTTGCTTTTGGGTTCTTGTTCTTGGATGATGGGATAATTTTTGGTTGGTGTCTCCGGGGGTTCTTTTGGTCACTTCCTCTTGCCAAACAAACCAAAACAGCTGAGGCAGGCAGCCCTTGCGGAGGCACTGCGCCGGGTGGCGCGCTTCGACCATGAGCTGGAGCAGCAGCGCTCCTTGCTGCAGAGGCAGAAGGGCGTCGGTGGAAAGCTTCGAATGGTGTAGCGAAGCCGTGCGTTCGCGGAAAGCTTCAGTTGGGGTTGGAGGAAGTCGACATGGCATGGGGAAGGTGGGTTGTTTGGGTGGGACAATTTCAGAATATGTTCAACCACTATTCTTCTCAAGCTGGGCTTCTCAATGATAGTAGGTTCAGAATGCACGCAACATGGCTGTGGAAATTGGCATTTGTGTTGCCACTTTCTATGACACCAAGATAGAGTCACCTTCGGGCTGGCCCACTTTGGTAACACGACTTGGGGTTGGAAACCACAGAACCGGTGGATGCAAACTACACCTAGATGAGTCGATCGAGATTCATGAACCAGAATGTCAATCCTGTACATGAACAAACCCTGTGGAGGGGATCCAGATCCGGATCTCGGCGGAACCCTCCGATTTATCCGACGGGTTTATTTGCTTGTTTGGGGTCGTCAGTAAGTTTTTTTTTTTTTTTAAATGGAGCAGGACAGGCCACTATTCAGGTCTTTTCTGGTGAAGGATACAGCCCAGGTGACTTTGTTTCAAGGCTTGGACAAGCGGGTTTGGGGAACCCCGTTTTGCTTTGTATGCAAACGCCGAAAGGAAACCAACCATTTTGACAGGGCCGTTTCCTCATTTTGGGAGAACCCCAAGTACTTCAAGCGGAGACTTGGCGAGTCCATGCGTCACCGTTCCTCGCTCGCTTGACGCGAGGCGACCAGCGCCAAACAAAGCAATGAATGATGCCATCCTGTCATCCTTGGTGGAAGAGAAGAAAACCGCCCTGGCGCAATGCGAGGAGTCTCGACTGCAAAAAGCTCAGCACCCATGGCTTCGAAGCCGAAGGGGTAAACGCGATTCGGGTATGATATGAATTTGAACTAGCGGCGCATTTGGCGGAAATCACGCGCATGCGTATGCATCGATGTTTACTTCGGGCAGTCTCATTGTCGAAGCCAGCTGAGGAGAATGCGAGTGACGTTGCTTGGAAGGAAGTCCGTGAACTTTGGCAGGGCCCACTGACGTCTGGCTTGGAGAAGCTCACGGTGTCTCTCTCCGAGGCAAGGGATGAGAGATGACCAGCCAAAGGCGGCTCCCCAAAAGAAAGGATATGTTGAGTCCAATGAGAAGCGTAGTTGACGGGAGAAGAGGGAAGGCCAACCATGAATAGTGACCCGGGTTCGACATGAATTTAGAAAATGGGGGGGGGGGGGGTTGAGCCCATTTTGGGCTTGTTTTTTCTAAGGATGGTGTGGGGGGTGCCAACCCCATTTTCTAAATTGTGAATAAAGGAAAATGGGTCTGGTCAGGAAGGGTCCTTTGCCACAGTTACCAAATTAGAAACTGATGTCCCCTTTGTTTTTCACGAGGCTGCCGTTTTCGTTTTTTCATGATGAGGTTGGACCCCCCCCATTTTCTTTTATTGGGGGTCGGCCTAGTGCCACAGCGGACCGAGGTTGCCCCCCCCCATTTTCTAAATTGAGCATCTTTCATGAACCTGGGCTCGGCCCGCCGTTTTCTAATGAACATGGGGTTGGACCCCCCCATTTTCTGCAGGAACATGGGGCGTCCACACCCCACCCCCCAAAAAACCAGACCCCTAGAAGAGTGGTTGGTACTTCCCCCGATTTTGATCCTTTTTCATGGGTCTCGGGGTAGAATTTTCTCAGTACCGGTGATTGGACTCGCTCTTTCACACAGTGTCCGGCTCGAAGACGCTGGGTTGCTCTCTATGATCGAAACCCAGGGGTATAAAGTTAGAGGGTTGCTTAGGTCTCGCTCGATTCCTTTTGGGACCCCAATTTCTGGCCCCAAGAGTCTTCGCAGCAACCCTTTAAAGTTACCAGGGCCCAAATGTCCACCCCGACCGGGTCGAATAGGAGCAACCTTCAACAAATTGAGCAAGTTGCGTGTTCGGAAATCCAGGTTCGACCTCAGTTTTGTCCCTTGTGACCTTAACAAAACCCGGGTAGGGCGATTTTGTCTGCCCTGGAGGTGTGGCGTAGCCCAATTTACTGCACAGGCATCCCTCCTTGGCTATATTCCGCTATGAATGTATGGGTTATTTTTCATTTGGAGCCACGAGGGGTACACCCACAGATCAGGGTACGTGAGTGTGCTTGATTGATCTGCTGCATGAGTTTAGGATTTCCTTTGGGTTCCCTTTCCAAAGTCCTTTGGCAGGTCTTAGCGATTTGAACCATGGCGTCTCTTCCACAACTATGTTTTAGGGAGAATCGGATATGTTTTTTTGCGGTGTATCCCAAAAAAAGCAAGCATTGAGCATGAGGCATTTGACGGGTTTCAGGCGAAGAGCAGCCCGTCGCGCCTCCTAGAAAAGCCAGACACATCGGCAGCTCTCGCGGAAGCTCGCAGACGCTCCCTGGTTGCACGTCAAAAAACTCCCGTTGGCTTGTGGGAGGTAGGGCTAGTCAGCTGCTTTAGGGTTTGACCCACATAAGGAGTTTGCACGGTTGCAATGCTTGCCAGCCCTGGATTGAAGGTTAGCCAGCCCACTATACTGACTGCTTACAATAGCGCAGTGCTGGGAAAGCAAGCAAGAAGCTTCTGGGTTTTTGTTTCGGTCTTTCCAGAAACAGGGACTCCAGAAAATCTCCAAACATCGTACGGTGCACAATCACATAGGACCCCCGCCTCGTAATCTGGGGTTGCCTCAACACGGAAACTCCCAAAATGGGCCGCTTTCCATTAGTTGTTCATTTGAACAACCCAAAAAGGGTGCCCTCATCGAACAAATCATCCCCACATGACCATATGTGCCAATAGCCTAGCTGCGAAAGCAAGAATATGCCGTCAGGTGTTTTTCATACATTGAGTGACCCATGGCTCATGCATCGACGCCTGCACTTTACCAATGCTCGTCAAAAAAAGAGCTGTGTGCATACACTTGCTGAAACCATGACGCATTTTGGGAGAGGCAACGATTCCGCACAAGGTGAAACAAGCTCACCCCGGCTGAAGGTCCCCAAAGTGAGGGGTTCCTTGTCCTCAGTGGAGAGTCATATCTTTGGCCCTCATCAACCAATGATTTTGGTGGTTTCCCCACCAGATTCTATGACAAAAATGTGTTTGGAGAAATTTGGTGTCTGAACCACCAGAAAGGATTGGTGGTTCCGGGCCCCAGGTAGCAATTGCCCGTTGTCCGCTGCAACCCTTGGAAACCTCTCAAGGCCTGGTCACGCTGGAGGAGGAGACGGATCGCCAGAGGGTTGGCCTGCGCAAGCGCGGGAGAGCTGAGGAGGCGCGGGGTCCAAAATGGACATCTGCCCGAACAGTCGAGGGCATCAGGTTTACGCCCAGACAGGTACTGGGTCCCTGTGGTTGCATTCTGAGGGGTTTTCATGTGGGGTACCCTCTTTAAGAGGGTTTTGAAAGGATACCAAGGGGAAATCGCACATTCTGGGATTCCCGCATTTGGAGACAAGCCAACACTTGATTACTTTTGGGACCCGGGTGTAACCCCTTCAAGCTGCCAGTCAGAGGCTATCCCGGATGTCATACGGACCCAGAGGTATCTTGGTGTTTCCAGCCTGCCCCAAAGCGTCGCCTTTGATAAATCCATAGATAATTCATGCGGACTTTTCAGGAGGTTCCAAAGCTGGGATTGATAGCAGTTGATGAGTTGGAGCACTTAGTTTTTGTTAATGTTGAAACGCATGTGGAAACATGAACTGTGTTTGAAATGCTTGACCATAATGGCATGTGCCATTTTGGCTCAAGCTTTGCCCTGGGTTCCTTGAACCCAATTTGTGTGAAAAAAATTGAGTTTGAACACCTTCGAACTAACCCCGATCAAGCAATGGCTTCCTCGGCAACCTCGGCCACCTCCTTTGAGCTGATTGAGGACCAGACGCTCACCGTGGAGGAGGTTGAAATGGCCAGCCAGGAGGCCCAGGAAATTCGCACACGCGAGGCGGCAGTGGCGGCCGGCCTGGTTTTGGACGAGCCCGAGGCCCCCCGTCGGCCTCGGCTACCGACGTGATGAAGGACCTCTCCAGTGCACTGGAGCGTCTCCGTGTGGCGTTTGCCACACCGACTCTCGGCTTGGGTGCCCCTGGCCCCGCCGAGGAGGAGGACAAGGACATGGAAGATGCGGACGTCACGGAGCGGGCCACTCCACCGGAGGAGGCACAGACACCACCCACGAAGAGGCTGAGGGGTTTCGTGGCGGCTTCCCAGAAGACCACGGTTTATGTGAACAAACCGGTCTCCTTGGTGCCGGTTGAGGGCCGACCCGGTTACTTCAAGCTGGTGGCAGACCTCTTCCCGGTCCTTCCGGCATCGGCGGCCACTTTGCTGAGGGACGTCACGGTGGAGGAGGCGGTCTCCCTGTTCCACAAGTTTGTCGGGAAGAATCTCACGGAGGACCTGGTGATTCGTATCCTGGAGGCCTATGTCCCGATGAAGATCCAGATCCGGCAGGAGGAGGTCTGGGCCTCGCAGTTCCAGAGGAACAAGGCGTGCGTTGGCACCCAGCGTATGCACAGGCTCGATGCAGGCTATTCCGATTACAAGTTCATGTGCAAGGCATGCGGCACGGGGTGGCCAGAGGCAGCCAAGCAGTGCTGGGTCTGCCCAGGCAAGGAGTTCGTCCCCTTCCAGGCACCCTCGGCCACCTATGAGGCGGACGGCATCACCTACAACCTGCTCATCGTGGAGGGCAAGCCGACCTGGATCCAACAGCGGGAAGGGGGAAGCCTGGGTGCCGCTGGCCCCGGTGGTACCCGGGCACAGGCAGACCGCAACCTGGTGGACGGCACGGTCCTGGGGAGACCTCCTCCGAAAACGGACACGGCAGAGGAGATCACCATGGCAGACGTGGTCCCGCTCAACAGGCGGGTGGACATCCGGCAGGAGATCCTGTCCATGGAGGCGGACGACGAGGCGTTGAAGGTCCGGGAATGCCAGGAGATCAAGGTCAAGGTGCAGCGGTCCCTGAAGGAGGCGGAGGCTCAGAGCTTCCAGCTCTACCACCCCCAGGTGGACCAGGCGATCCGGAAGAAGGAGGAGCTGCATAAGGCCTTGAGGGAGCACCGGGAACCGACCCTGGAGGAGTCCTCGGCCAGGCGGCGGCACAAGGAGTTGGTCACGGAGGAGATGCTGGACAACGAGATGGCTATCCTGGCGCCTCTCCAGGAGGGCATGCAGTCCCTGCCGTCAGAGGAGGTGGCCAATGAGGGAGCCCGTGCCCTCAGGAACGTCAACCTGGAGCGATTCAAGGCCAAGCTGGGCGTTGACGCCAGCCAGGCACTGGCTGAGGCGATGGGCTCCATTCAGGAGGCTCAGGCGGCGAACAAGCCCAGGACACCAACCAGGCATGGATGCTCAACCACACTCTCAAGCCCTTGGAAGTGTCGGCGTGGCCGGATGATCTCAGGCAGGCCCTGGAGAGGGGGCTATTCTGCGCCCTGGAGCTGGATGACCCCGAGGACATCCCCCAGGTGGGAGACATCAAGGAGAAGTATGTCCCCTACATCAGGAGGCTCAGGGAGTCGCAGAACCCAGAGGCGCTGCTGGAGGAGATGCCCGATCTGGTGGCACCGGCCCCCCCGAAGGGTGCCACTGGCCCCGGGGGCGGACCAGCCAACGTCACAGCAGGACCTGAACTCGGAGGAGGGCAAGCTGTCCCTGCTCCTCTGAGCGATGAAGAGGACACCAGAAAGAGCTCCGGATGTTTGGGGGGGGATCTGGAAGAAGCACGCAAGCGGTGAGATCCCCAAGGGTGCTGACCAGCAGTTCAAGCTCACGCCGGAGGAGCTCCTGGCCCTGGAGCGCAGGACTCACCCACTCACGTGCGAGCGGGACCACATCGACCCAGTCATCTACACGGCCTTGGAGATCAGAGCGCAGGTGAACCGGGGTGAGCGCCCGGCGCCGGAGCAGGTGGTGGGGATCTTCTGGGCGAAAGGTGATGGGGTGTTTTGGACCAGGCAGACGAGAACGTGGGACCTGCCGAGCCTGACGGGGGTGTATGCCCACAGGTTCACCTTCAAGTACATCTACTCGGCCTGGGCCACTTTCCCGTTGATCGTGAAGACGCAACGCCGGGGCCGCAATGCGGAGGGCTCGACCTCGGACAAGTGGATGGGCAACATCCTCCAGATGAGGAAGGAGGCGGTGCCCTTCCTGGAGAGCCTGGGCATCCCCAAGCCGCGCAGCAAGGCGGAATGGAGCTACATCTTCAAGGAGATGGGGACGTTCTTGGCAACTGCCCGTTGCCTGTGATGGAGATCCCGGTGGCCCCCGTCCACGACAGTAAGGAGGCGCTGCGCTTCAGGGCGGTCTGCGACGAGCGGATCACCCTCCCGCTGGCATCGCTGAAGGCCTTCGACTCGGTCTACACCAAGTTGGTGGCGGGCCTGAGCAAGTCTTCGATGGTGGAGGTGAAGGTCAACTGGCGCTGCAACGTGGTCCACGACTGGGTCGAGCAGGTCCCGCAGGAGGCGGCGGGGGCCTTGTACGACAGGCTGGGCTACTCCCAGGACCTTATCCGGCCCCCTTGGGTGCCTCTGGCCCCGGGGGAGGAGCGGCCAAGGAGGCGGACCCCAAGGCCAAGGTTCTGGGGGGGGCAGACACCACGCTCCGCACACCAGACCAGGGCACTAGGCGATACCCGCCCATCACCACGGCCACGGTCACGGCGGTTGCGGGCCGGAAGTACATCAACAAGCACTTCCCCAAGGAGACGAAGCACGTGTTCTGGGCCTCCGTGGAGTGTGGTTTGGTCTTGCCCAGCATCAGCGCCTGGGAAGTGGTGGGCAAGGAGAAGTTCAAGACCACCGGGCTCTATATGTTCAGATTTTGCAAGGGCTTCTGGAGGGCGAGCCGCGGGGGCACCAGGCTGCTCCAGATCACGGGGTGGCACAAAGACAAGGCCACATGCTTGCAGCTGGTGATGGACGAGCCCCCGGAGCAGCTATATAATCAGTGGATCCGTGACAGGATGGAGTTCTACAAGAGGGTGGAGCGACGGAGCCTCCCAGGGACGAGCGGCTCGTCCTGGGCGACGCGAGCGCCCCCCGCATGCGCTTCAGCTCCTCGAATGGCCTGGGGCATGTCTCCACTGCCTTGTGGTCGGTCATTTTGAGCAACCCGGAGAAGTCGGGGCTGGCGGCCATCCACTCGGTGGCAAAGGAGGCGATCTTGAAGGGTGAGAGCCGCTAGGTCGTGTCTCACAGCCCCTTTGGATGTGGTGTCGTGTGATCTCTTCCCGCCGGGACTTGGGTGCCTTTGGCCCCGTCTCGGGTGGGGGGAGGAGTATGGGTTTCTCCGTTTGGGTTCATCTTTCACCATTGTTTTCCCCCTGTTCAACACGTCACGACAGCCGGATTGCCTCGATCCGGGAGGCCACATGCACTGGCTGCCCCAAGGACGGGCCATATCAGCCACGGTTCGGAAAAAGTGGCTGCGGCTGACTCTTGGTTTCCTGGAGGTCCCCTGGGGGTTTTGGGGAATCCCCCGCCTGGTTGGTCTCCCCCCTCCGTGCTTTTGGGGATTTCCGGGGGTTGACTTTTGGTCTTGTCGGGCTGCGTGTGGCCTGCCTGCTCTATCTGCACTCGGCATTCTGCGCGATTGGAACATGCATGCATTGTGCCGCGGTTGGGTCCCGGCCGTTCGATTGGAGGCTCGAACCCCCCTTTTCCTCATGGCTAGGGTTTCTACCAAGTTTCTTTTGCGCCCGCCTTACACACGTCTTTGGGACCGCATTCCGAGGGTCCTATGGGACACATTGGCGGATGAGTCCTTCTCCCCGAGACAGACGGACGGGGAGCTGTTGGTCCTGATGTGCCTGCGCCATGGCACGGAGGAGGAGGGGAGGAAGCTGGAGCCGGCAGTCCGCTTCGCACAGCTCCTGGAACTTTACTGTCCGCGGCGGACCTGGCCGACCTATGGGATAGCCTATGGTTCCTCCTCATGGCGACTGCGGATGGCAAGCCGAGCGAGAACTTTTCCCCGCTGGAGAACGAATGGGACCGCCAGGACCAACTGAGGTGGTTCTCACGAGATGACCCACCACCACTCCAACAACCGGAGCTTCTGAAGTGGAGGCACTGGCGGCCGGGGAAAATCAGGGAAATGGACGACCCAGCGAGCGCTGGAACTCCATATGCGCGGGAAATGGGCGGAACGGCTCCTTGCCCACTTCGCCCCTTTTGCGGAGCACATCGCATACATGCAGGACATCCTGGGGGAGGACTTCCGCAAGGAGGCATTGGACCTCTTGGGGGACAGTAGGTTCCG